CGTGGGCCCCAGACTGAGGGTGTGCGCTGGTGGCTACATCGAGCAACTCGAGGAGAATATCCGTCGCCCGTACCTTCTTGGAGACCTTGTGCTGCTACAGGTTTGGGTGCCACCACATGGAATCGAAGGGTTTTGGAAAAACTCCCGCCTACTTCGAATGGAAGGGCGTTTCGTACCTGAAGAAGATGTAATATTGAAGTATGTCCCCTGACCTGAACCCACTCAATTACCTAGTTCGGGCGGACTTCAAGAGGGTGGTCTACGGTGGCGGAGAAATCGACTACCCCGCTGATCTCAGGTACCACATCGCGGTCGCCAGAATCTCTCGATGGCGTTCGTCCAGAAGGCTGTGGCGGAGTGTCGTGATAGTACTTAATATGCTCTTCAATATGGTAGTAAAAATGTCCGATCAGAATTTGATAAAGTGTAACTTATAGCGCCTCGAAAGTCAATGAGGCAAAGTGACTTTTTTTGCCCCCCCCCCTGTATAGTGCTAAGCATGCACTATTTGCACTACGAGTTTACATGCAAGAGCCAAATGAGCGAACTAATTCAGACTAGATGCACTTTCGCATTGTCGCACTTTCAAAGAATTTCGCTGTTGAGGTCTTTTTCCTGGCAACGTGGGGACAAGAAAGTTATCTTACTTCATAGAGCATAACTTCGCTCAAAATGTTGGAGGAGAAGGAAAAGCTTCTCGGAACTGCATTATCCACGCTTTTAACTTCGTTTGACTACTGGCTTCTGTTTTAGGAAGACCTACCCTGCGAAGGCTACTCATTTCGTAATAAGGAGCTGAGTGCGCCGCAAGCTAGGTGATCAGACTTGTTATAGTACACTACATTTGCGCTATTAGAAAGGAAGCTTGCTAAAAACACCGCTTACTTGCTCTGTGGCTCGAGCTTTGTCCACTTACCATGATTGTTGATTCTCGAGAAATGAAGGGTTGGAGTGACGACATGGCACCGATATATAAACAGGCTGACGATGGTAGCAGCAAAAAATGAACCTATGTAAACAACCAGGAGAACTGATAAGTGGCTGGTGATGGAAATCCATGGCGCAATCCATGAAGCAGGATAACCCATTGGTATTGGGAAGAATATTATCGGCAAAGTGAGTGCCAGGTAAATGAAATCGAATACGGTCGATGTCAGCTGGTAGATCAGCAAATACCATTTATAAGACCCCATTTGCTTCGTTGACTTGTAGAGAATACAGAATATACTCAGCACATTCAAAGGAACTGCCACAACAGAAAGCGAATGCATGAAGATCAGGTAGAAACCAGTGTCTAAGGTCAAAATCATCGCATTCGATCATTGAAGGGACTCAACAAGGCTTACTAGGTAGGAGTAGTTCAGCGAAATATCTACTCGAAGCAAGTAATTGGTTTCGTCATGCGCACGAGAACACCTGCCATTATGAGGTGAACATTTCATCCAAGTAATCGTCGAGCCTGATGTTTCAGAGATCCCTAACTCACCTTCTGTGCGGAGAGGGGCGGCTTGGAGTATGACCTTTTAAGAAACCGAAGACAGAGCTTTTCAGTCCGTTGGTACCAGCACCAGGTAGAAATTGGCTTTCCCTTAAAGACCGATTCAGCACTCACCTCCGAGGAGGGTCCCCTCCATGTGCTACGTGATTTGTTAGTAGATGTATTAGGTTGTCCGGAAAGTTCTCAGCGTTTTGTGCACCTATTTTTTGTACATTCACTGCTGATTAAAAACTCATTCTGCCTTGCTTCTCAGTAGCACATCCTGTAGAGAATTTCTTGCGCTATCTGATGGTATAATTGCCGTTTCACCATTGCTTGATAACCCCTTTTTTTCAAGATTTTTTCAAGCATGTGAAAAGAGCACTTTGGACGATTTTTTTCTTCGACTATAAATTGGGGCAATCCGCAATCGAAACAGCTCAACAAATTAACCAGGTGTGGGGGCCCAATAGTGCTAGAGAAAGCAGCTGTGCGCTCAATGGCTCTGAAACTATTTCATTATCTGGAGAATTCTTAGCCGCTGAATCGAATCGAACCTCAATAGCGGAGTCGAGCCTATAAGCATATATCTGAAGAGGATTTGTAGGGGGATTTGGTCTGGACCCATCCCAGAACCGTTCGAATGAGATGATGCAAAAAGAGCTAGGCCCTGGCAAATCCACTGTTGCAGATGGTTTGGAACGCATTGGGAAGATGAAAAAACTCGACATTTGGGTGCCCCACAATCGGAGTGACCGGCAGGAATCGGCACGTCTCGAGCTTCCTTCTGTCATGTGCTTTTGCGACAGCAGAAAGCCGATCCCTGTTTTTGGGCGCCCGAATGGGTTCATGTATGATAAACCAGTGAGACGTATCCGTGACAAAGTATCTTCCGACCGATATTACCAACCGAGGTAATTTTTCAAGGCCTGATAGTCTCTCTCTTATCTGACAATAATCAGTAGTTCTGGTTTCACTGGTTTGGTGGTCCATTCTGGGCTGTGTATCCACTATAACTTCTTATCAGCGCCTAATGTCGCAAACCATCACAGCAGAACCCTACTGTGAAGAAATCGACGAATTGTACCGAAAATTTGTCAGATGCAGCCAACACTTATCAAAAGAAAGGGTCCGATTCTCTTTGCCATGACAACGCCGCAGCACTACGGTTTTCACAAATCACTATCTCATGAAAATTGAAGGAACTGGGGTTGGAAAGTTCTACCTCAACCGCCATATTCTTCAGACCTTTCGCCAAGCGACTATCACCTTTTCTAACATTTTCAGAACTCCCTTGCTGGAAAATACTTCATCAATCAGGACCAGGCAAAAAAGCCTTAGTGGATTTCGTGAATTTTCGACCACCCAGTTTTTTACTTTGATGGGATTTCTCGACTGCTGTCACATTGGCAAAATGTGCTGATTCGAATGGTGCCTATTTCGATTAAATCCGATGAGCATTAAAAAAGTTGCGATCGTCGTTAAAGTGAAACACAACCATCAACCGCCTGAGAAGATTTCCGGACCAACCTAATAGTACTCGCCGTGCCACTTTCTCCGCCTGAGCGTCACGGAAGGGATGGTAGTGATACCTGGAGGCCGTCTCCCGATCTTGCCCACGCTATCTGCAAGCTGCATTGCGTGGATGCCGAAATTCCGACCGAGCATGAGTTGAGCGCTAGCAATCAGAAGTCAAGAGGGCGCCAAACAACTGCGCGTGGCTGTACGGTAGCGGGTGGCTGAACGTGCGACAGTGCGGAAAGTCGCGATACGTCATCCGGCTATTTACACTCCGGCTCCATTGTCGTGCAATTCTGAGCACACAAAGCGGCACGGAACTGCAGCTGCGGACCCAATCTCCTGACACATCTAAAAGACCACGGAGTGATCGTACGGTTTCTTTCGAAAGGGTTGTTTTTCCTCACATGAAACAAATTTATTCTATTAAGGCTCTCGCAAGGAGCTGCGGCGACAGATATTGGAGGCAGCAGACCAGGTCAGATCGGAGGCACCAATGAAGGCAAGGTTCAGGATTCGGTTGGAGGCGGCTAACTGTAGTATTTCAGATCGCTGAAGAAGGTGCTAGGCACCGAAATATTCGAAGGAAGTATTAGAAACAAAAATTTTTGCAAGAACTTTTGGATTCTTTTGAGTCTTTTGAGTTTTTTGCAATAAATTTTTTGGCGCCTCTTTCACGTGTTTCATATTCAAATTTATTCCAGCTGTGCAACTTCCCCAGCAAGAGGTTTAGGGTAGCATCAATGTCCGAAGAGCGGCCCGATGCGTTCCGAACCCATCATGAACCCTCTAGCTCAGGGCACTTCATTGGTTGGGGATTTCGGTCGAGTCCGTACGACTCCCCCCTAAAAGGAGGATACGACCCTCCCAAGGTTTGTTGTTTTTCGCCTTTTTATTTGCATTTTCTTTCAACACCTACGAAGAAGACTTAATATTTTCTACCACTGCCGTGTTAATGAGCGAGTTAGGATTTCCCAATTCTTCCCAACTGTGGTAGAGAGAATGGCTGTATAGATCTACATCGCAGAGGATGCTGTGCTCCAACCTACAGACTGTTGTGTTCAAATTCGCGCGCGGGAGGAACTGGCAGCCATGTCCATTCGAATACCGAATGCGCACGCGCCCGCGCTTTGATTGCGTTGGGGCGTGTTTTTATAGCCCCCCTTGAGTGAACAATTTGTCTCCGAAAGGTTACAACTTCCTTAAAGGCAGACCTTTGAGAAAGAGAAAATTGACCATGAAGAAAAAGATTCCCGAAAAGTACTGAAATGTCTATAAAGGTTGCCAAATTTAGGGAGAAATTCAGCGTTGCGGATTAGTTGGGAATTTTCAAATTGGGAATTAGTTCGGAATTTTCAAAATCGGGTACAAATTGTCCTGGTTTGAGCGAAGATAACTGCCCAAGAACTAAACTGTTTGCAAATCCACAACCAGTGTCTAACCTCTAACATTTATCATCGGTCACTGAAGAAAAACACCATGAGAGAAAAAAATACCAATTATTACAAAGACATTATATGCGATAAAGTGAGTAGAAAAAAATTTTTTTTGCTTACAAAACACACTGAGGAAAGAGTGGTATCTTCGAAGTGGTGGCTCACATTATGAAGTGAAAGAGGAGGAAGAGGGCTTATGGGAAGGAGTGGGGAGCTTGGTGGTGAAGAGCAGTGGCCCGCCAACACTGCAAGTCGCATCAGGCATCAAGCGGCTCCGGATACCAACTTAGTAGGTCCGCCAACCCCACCAAGACCCACATGTCGCCATGGGAGGGACCAAATTTAGAGATATAGCATACCAAACATAATAATGCTTGACTATTAGTATGAAAGTATGAACCGCAATAAGATCGAACCACAAAAACTAGAAGGAGAGACGAGGAAATAAATCACCTCTCAATCTTGTAGGATCAACTTTCAGTCTGTTCTTATTTTTACACGAATCAACTAAATCAACTAACTGAATGAAACCGATTGCTTCATGCACTTAGAATAAGCTTTGAGCAATCAATACTTTCATCAGTTTTCTTCGAAACGACTCAGTTGAGTTGGAGTTCACCACAACAGGTGGCAAGTCATTCCAGACAGAAATGATTCTTTGCGTGAAGGAGTTTCGAAATTCCGCT